TGTTGAGTTGTTCCTGAACATTCTCCGGTTGTTGAGTTGTTCCTGAATGTAGTATGAACATATGCTGATATATATTCATAAATTAAACGGATTCTTTCATTTTTCTGGACTGTATAATGACGTGCATCTGAATTTAATAAAATGTGGACGGAAACGTTAATTATCTTTGACTCACCAACGACAGTGGGTCATTTATTAACAGAATCAAGTTTAACACATCACACATTTACATTAATTGGCAAAAATTGAAAATAACGACAGCTTATTAATCAGTTTTACAGGGAGTAAACAATACGGCGATTGTTTTCTCACTTTGCAGCAGTACAACAGACATTAACCACACGGCGGTGGTTGAAAAACTTTGCTTCAGACATTTCTAAAAATATCTGGAATGATTTGCTAGCAGGATAGAAGAATTTAAAGATGGGAAATGAAGTTTATCTTGAGAGAGATGTGTGAGGGAATTTGTCTGTCATAACCAGAAACAGCACGCTCCTTCTAGACCAGCTTGGCCCAACGGTACGCTTTGGTTGAGATCGACTCTTTTACCTTTGCAGATGATAGTTTCAGCGTTGGTGTAGAGCTCTCCTTTCAACTCTTTCAGCGTCTCCGTAAGAACAGCTAAACCTCGGGAGTCGTGAGATCATCCAGAACAGACTTCATAATTCCTCTGAACTTCTCTCGTCCAGCTTAGTGGCAGATGTACTGAGCATGCTGCATTCCAACATTCTGCATTCCAGCATTCTGGACTCTGGAACTGCTGAGTTTCAGAACTGCAGAACTGCTCGAGCTCCTGCAGAACTTCTTCATCTACAGTAAACTAGGAAGTGTTGCACCTTTTTAAAATAGCTCACTTCCGGTTCATTTGAGAACTTTCTGATTGGTCAATTGACCAAAACAGAGGTGTGTTTTGTGATGTAAGGTGTTATGAAAAGTCAAGGAAAAAGATTAAGATTGTTTAAGAACAGACAGAAGATTGTTATGAAGAACTCAGACTTCGTGGAGTCACTTCTCTAGTATCTTGCTGTAAAAGTTAAACATGACATTTCTTTTTCAGTAAACTTGCAGTTGACCGAAACTTGAACTTTGACCAACTTACACCACTTGCTCATTTCAAACAGACGATCAAGAAATTGAATCATTACTCTGTAACATATTCCAACTTGATTTCACTTTGAATGAGGATTAACAATCATTATTACTGTTTCACAGTTGATTTAAAAATGAGTAGTTCACTTCAACATTTAAACATTGTTTGAACTAACACAATTTGATTATCAAAACATTTGTAAAATAGTAATGATAATAGAAAATAGTCTTCTTTCACTTGATTAATTCAAGAAAGAAAGTCTCAGGATGGGTCAACCTGTATTTCTGGATTCAAATCAATGAAATGACAGTTTCTGTCCCATAAGGTGCCTAAGGTCAAGGTTGCACCTCAGGCCTAGTTCACTACACTACTCCGGTTGTAGAGTTGTTCCTGAACATTCTCCGGTTGTTGAGTTGTTCCTGAACATTCGCCGGTTGTTGAGTTGTTCCTGAACATTCTTCGGTTTTAAGTTGTTCCTGAACATTCTCCGGTTGTTGAGTTGTTCCTGAACATTCTCCGGTTGTTGAGTTGTTCCTGAACATTCTCCGGTTGTTGAGTTGTTCCTGAACATTCTCCGGTTGTTGAGTTGTTCCTG